AGGCCTGAAAGTTGGTGTTTCTGAAGAATGAAAAAGTGTTAGAAATCACACACTTTAAGAAGTTGACGAATATCACAAAACACAGGGCAAAGATATCTTCATTACCTACCTAACACGCTTCTGTAATAATTCCTTCTGGCCTGTCTGGATTGGGCTGCGCACTCTTGGACTCCTTTCTTTATGCGTCAAGATCTTGTAATTCGGTTTTCTAGAAAGAAAAGAGATGATTTCTGCAGAACCACAGAGTGAAATAGACACACATGTGCATTTGCACACACATACATGTATGTCCACGTATATGTGTAAATGTATTCTGCCTTATGAGACACAGGAACGCCTGTCCTCACACAGACACACTGGTGGTCTATGGTGTGTGCCCTATGTGGTCCACAGAACACGGCCCTGAAGACCTGTGCACACTAATCTCCAGACTCGTGAATACCTTAGGTAACGGCAAATGGGAATGAAGGCTGCCAATCAACGGATTAAGATGGGGAGGGGAATGGCAATGAAATCATAGGGAAGGAAAAGAAGACGGGAGCCAGACAGACTGCAGCACAGGGACTCACACAGAGGCAGTGGTCTCTAGAGGCTAGAGGAGGCGGAAAGAAGAATTCTCCCCTCAAAGCCTCCAGAAGGGAGCACAGCCTGCTGTCACCCTGATGTTGGCCCAGAGAGATCCGTTTTGGACGTCTGACCTCAGGGCTGCAAGTTAATGACTGGGTGCTGTTTAGCCACTCTATTAATGATATTTAGTTCAGCACAGTAGGAAACTAAGGCATGTCCAAACACAGGACTCGGATCAACTCCTTTCCACATGATCGCCCTTGGGAAAGGAGTGTATGCACACACACGCACGCACATACAGAACACGTGGGCACGCACGCGCACACACACACACTTTTACGCCATGTCCCCTCAAGGATGTTGAACTCCTGTTTTGAGGACCCTCAGTGAGAACCGAATCCTGCACTCAGAAATGTCCCCGGCAGGCTGCTGGCTTCCTGCGCAGTGTGTCAAGCCTCCAGGCCAGCACCTTAGGGTGCACCTGCTCTGGGCCCTGGCCCTGCCCCCACTTCGTGTCCTGACCCGCCCTAGTCCTGGCTGCCTGGTAGGAGTGCTCCTTCCTTAGGCTCAGGGACTGTCCTGCCCTCATATGTCCCGTTGAGGACACATGGAACCTCCCCTCTGCTTTGTGACACCCTCCTCTGGGGAGGAGGAGCACAGTCAGCACCATGCT